TTGACTACTAAATTAAACATCTGTATTTAAATTACATGAAATAACTGATGACTGAAACTATTATTAATAAAATTAATTTAAAATTACCATTAATAAAAGTTTATCACAAACATATCTATTACTACTATCATCCTTTAACTAGAATCTATTAAAGGCTTGATTGATTATGTATAAAATACTAATTCATATAAAGAATAATTGACATGAAATAAAATTAATTTAAATTATTCCAAGTAATATAAACAATATTTATCGGACAGTTGTTAATACTATCCCGATATGTTTACAGTTTTCTATGTTGGCTCATGTTTGATAATGCCGATATTGGGAATTGAAACTAACTTGACGATAAATATTATAATTTGTTTTATTTAAAATATTATACTCACAATTTATTCTGGTATTAAGTATAGTTTGTAGATAGTTATTTTCGTATTCATAAAGTATAAAGGTATTTAAAGGTTTTAAGGTGCTTAAAAATTCTATAAGTATATTTAAAACTATTATTCATCTAAATCTAGTGCGATAAAACTGTAGTGAATATACATGAAAGTTGAAGATTAATATAATATAACATTTTATGACCATAAACATTAAACAGAATAATTAATTTAAAGAACTTTATTAGATAATATACGAACTATATAATATACATTAATATTTAAACGTGCCTGCCATGATACAGACTACTCTAGTATTGAAAATAAGGGATGAACTCAAAAACGATGTGATGGAGAATAATCTAAGGGAAAACCAAATTAAAGAATACATAAAAATGAACCTATTCTCAGTACAAACGCGTAGCACTGGTCAAATCGAGAATAACTTTGTACCTACGGAATCATAGCTGGCAATCGTCTATCGTGCACCATACTTTGCTAAAATTACACTTCTGAATTCAAAGCTATTCTTAAGAGCTACTAAGGTGAAGTTGTACAAAGCCCTTATTAGACAAATATAGTTTGGTATAGAAGTTTAAGTATAGAAACACGGACATTAACAAAATCATATGCTAACAGATTTAATATATTTGAAAGGAAAGTGGTAAGAAAAATGTACAAATCAGTGAACGAAGAAGAACTACGGAAGACCCGAAACCACATTGAAATAGTTAAGATCTCAGAAAATTAAAATATTGTGAGATACCTACTATTCATACAGAATATTATACAGAATCAGATGGATGGGTCCCGACGGGAGAATGGAGAGGAAAAACTGTCCAATCGTATAATGTGTGCAAGAATAAAAGGAACCTATAAAAGGGGACGTCCAAGAAGTCGATGACGAGATGTAGTATAGACATAAGCGGATATTTTGGCTTATTTAACCCCACAAATTTATTGAAAAATTTCCAAAGTCCCCACTACTTATTTTGCAAAAAATATTTACCCCCCCCCCTAAAATTCAATCATATATCCGCCTATTAGTATATAGAGTAAGATCTCCAGTATAGATGGTAACTGGTAACGTATACGTAACTGAAGAAATGCAGCAAAATATCAGAGTGATGGGAGGAGAAAAGAATTTGGGAAGCCTAGGGCTACTAAATGACCATCAGGGTAAGCGCTTAGGAGTAATAGGTAATAGTATATTAGTATATTTAGTTCCATAATTAATAGTATAACATAAGACATAAGTGTTACATAAGAAAACAAGAATGTAGGTATAACTATGAACTGAATAAAACATTAATATTAAACATCATACTGATATGTTACCTGCACTTACAATACTCCAATATTTAATATAATACCTATTAAAATCTTATTATAATATGTTTTGGGCACTGACTAATATAATATCTTAGTCCGTGGTTATGGCTTTATGGGTAATAACTATAATATAATAGATAACTGATTATAGTAAAATTAAAAATAAACATACATTACTTTTATGACTGATTACCGAATACGATTAAAGTCCTTATTATACACCCCCGTGTACATATTAACAGCATTATTTATAAAATAAATATACATTAATTTTATGACTAATACCGAATACGATTATAGTCCTTATTATACAAACCTATGTACAATGTACATATTTACAGCATTATTCATATTTAATCATATTCAATATTCTTAATGTGCGTTATACGTCATTAATTATAAATTATAATATCTTTTTTAATCATAAGTTCAAATTAGAAATGTTATTTAAACACGGTTTAATTTACTGAATTTTTTCCCTGAAAAGTTTATTTGAAAATTTGCAAACTTAAAAATATTTAAATACCTGTCCAATTATTATCAAATTTTACTATATCATAATATTTTGTAATTTGCTTATTAAATTATAAATAATTGTAGAGTTAAATAATATTATTTTAACCACATTTTTAGCACACACACAATGACTTCTGTTATTACAAAATCAGAGATTTTACAAAGTATCTATTTGAGGAGGCTAATGTTTTGTTTCTCATTGTAAACCGACCTGTGACATACACATACTGAGTACCTACTGACAATCCTCTCGATCGTTTGACACTACTATACATTACTATGTGTTTTCAAATCATTTTACATACCTAGGTACCTGCTATAATAAGTGATAACTGATATGTCCTATGTGATATGGTTTTTCTTTATGATTAATATTCGCCGATACCGTATTTATTTTACCATTGGACATCACTAAATCAGTTATACCGTTAACGTGTATAGAGTACCTACTTATCTCGAGATTCCATCAACTTATCCCCATCTTTAAATACAATATTGTATATTGTATACAACTTCTTCAAAATTATTTACTATACTTTAATTTTTATATTATTGACCTACCTAGGTATTAAAAATATAAAATACAACTTTTATTAAAACTATTGTATAGCTTTGTACAATAATATTTAAATTAAATTTATAAATGTATTATAAATTATAATCTATATATATTCGATAAATATCAGCTATGAGTATTTGAGTAAATAAACGTCAATTATAATTTTTATTATTTTTGTTAAATAAAAAAATCATTTGACAGACACATATTATACATAATATTATCACAAAATAGTTAGACTGTTAGAATTGTATTATTATAATTTATAAGGTACAAACGTTTTGATTTCGGATACATACTGGCATGTACATTTGTGAAGAGAGGGGATATTGTGTCGAATTGAAACAAACGTTCAGTCATATTCAAATTCCTATTCTTCGACATTTGAGATTCCGTTACACTATAAGCATGTGACGAATGTCAATGTTTTGATTTAAACTTTAAAGATACCTTATAGTCTGATTGGTAAAATATAATTAAATTAATTTAAAAATATATATTATTTATTATGACGGCTTGAGACGAAACGAAAGGAGGACACGTCACGTAAAGGTAAAAAGTAATCATTTTTCGTTTTCTCTCTCACTCTTCTCTGTCGCGCCAGTATTTTTTACGATTATTTATTGTTGTTAAAGGTAGCGCTCTATCGTTTTAAGGTCTCGGTGTTCGCGGTTCGCCCTTTGTTGGGTCAGTCAAAAGTTCGACACGACATCGTCGACAACGCCGTCACCCGTGCATGTATAATAATAGTTACATGCATCTGTAAAACAGTGTTTCATTTTTCGTTAGATATTATTTTTGATTTTCATTAATTTTTATTGTTACGTTATGTACGAGTTTTAATTAAAATAGCCATGCACTGTTAAACCGTAAACGTTTGTTATTTACCTATTTTAATTTAATTACAAATTTTTTTTTGGTAATTTCATCCAACACCTCAATGTCTGGCCGTCATTTTAGAAATTGCGTCCGAATCGCCAACAATGGAAGATGATAAAGGAGAAGGCCATAGACGGTTGTTCTTCCATCGGGACCATCGATAGCGAAGTGTTTACGATTGGGAGGACATTTTAAGAGACACGTAATTATAAACGCACTTTAAACCACGTCTAAAAATATTATTTCTTTTTCTTGGCAAAGATAATATCATTCACGCTGTCGACTCTAGATTCACGTGGCAACCATTCAAATCAAATTTCTCATAACGTTATCTAAAAACTTATTTAAAATTATCATTTGTGTTTAAAAAAAAAAAATTTTTTTTGAAATTTAATTCTAACCCGTTAAAGTGAAATAGTTTTTTTAATGCCCATACTGATGTAGTGATGTTTAATACTAGTTTTAAGTTTATTTGTATCCATCAAACACTACAGAGATAAAAAAAAATTAAAATGTCATCAAATAGTGAATATCGAGCTATTTCGATTGTGGAACACAACCTAAAAATAACCAATCTCCAAAAATAGTAGGTACCTCCCTACCCCTGAAAATTATACACCCTAGATAACGTGCACGTTATAGAATGTATTGAGCAAATCATTTCTAACGATAATTTCTAAGTCACGGCAAAGTAAATTATAAACAATTCCATATAAAGATTTAAAACTTATATTTTAAAATTATTTAGAGTTCAGACAACAATCAATTCCCATGTTTATACCTACATCGTGAATCGTGATGTTATATTTTTAATATTTCAGTTTTAAAAATGCATTTATAACTTTCAAGTTCAAACGCGTTGAGTGGTTAAATGTTTTGCAAAAAAGTTTCAAAACTTTTTCCGAAGCTCACCATGTTAAACATATATATATCAATAATGCAGTTGAACAATCAAGGTTGCCGGATATGAAACTACAAGGCTCTTAGGAAAGTTTCTATATGCTGTGTAGGTTTTCTAATTATTATATCAAGAAATTTTAATGAACAGATATATAATATAATATAAATATATGTGTGAATAAATGTATACGATACACATTCTAAAAGTCAGTGATAGCTTGGAACGCACTATGAGCGATCCTGCATGCAGACGTAAATATGTGTATTAGGAATTGGGTCTTTATAGGTTACAAACTGAAGTTTTTCTTTCAACTACGTCATCAGTATGCATTTTAAACGAAATTTACTTTTGTTCCCTTACTATAGTTATAATATTAATATACTGAATACTGATTACTGATGATATTATGTTTTTGCAGTCGAGATGATGGACTATGACGGAAGCGAATATTCTATACTGTTCGGTATCCGTCAGGTACCGTGTGATGAATAACTCGAGCAAAAGTTTCTTCAGATGGATTATTTCAGAAATATTCTGCTGCTGGAAACAACAGAACGAACTTCCCGAAAACTTGGGTAAGACCTGTCGCGGCAACACATTCTAAGGATATTAGGCAAAGACTCTTAATGACCGTGAAATAATATACGCTTTTAAACATAATTTCAAACATAGATTTGACCCACATTCCTAAATGCCATGCGATCATAGTGGTTATTTAATATTTCGCATGTGTTTGGCGAGTTGAACGATCGATTGGTGGTGTGTCCATTCCCAAGGTCACCCGCTGTCTCCCCTCTTTGAAGGTCACTATATTTTTCACTTTACGATTTATTCAACTTAACCCGACAAACATGTGATCGACCACCTTTTTGAATAATTGAATAAGAATCGAACATAAACTAGGTATCAATAACCATGAAAAAATTAAACAAATTACTTTTACAATTTTATTCTAAGTAATTAAATACATTTTTTCATCCTACTCACAATTTTCGGATACATCATATACTTAGGTTATGAACATATTTTGTAGAAATGTTATATTGTTATGTTAAGAGTAAAACCTGGGAATTTGTCTGTTACATTGAAAGGAAAACAGGGAGAAACCATAAAACTGCCACGAACCAAATTATGAAGGCGACAAAACAGCGCGCGCGCGTGTGTGTGTGAATGTACATCGTCTTAATCAATATACGACTATTTTTTAGGGTTATGCACACATGACCATTTTTCTTCTTGTCCAACAAGGGTATAAATGTCATTGACCTTGTTTACCTCCAGTACCGTAACGTATAAAATGGTTGTAAACTTATAAATAATGAAAAACAAATAATCGAGGACATACTATACAACAACAATACGCACATCCAACAATCGTAATGATTAAACGTTGAATGACCGTTATTCGTAAAAATAAAAATCAATGCGCACGCATAAGTTTTCCAATAAAGGATCGAGATAGATATAGATCAATTTATCACTATTTCATAATTGAATTTATCAATTATTTGAGAACATAATAGGTAACTTAGAAGTCATAATAGTTCATAATACCTTATACTAGTCGAAATCCAAGTCGTTACGTTTTCAATAACGAGATCATACCAGTAAACTAATTAGTTATTACTTATTACAAATGTATGGAATGACAAATGACAATAATCAATTACTTATGTTTCTATATTAGCATACATACCTATATAAACATTATACATTATGTATAGTTTTTTTAAAGACTATATAACTGCATGTAATTATTTAAAATGTTGTTATTTTATAAAGTGGGTTACAACGTATAAACATTAATTAGCAGTAGAATATGGCGTACCTACTGCATATTTCAATTAAGCAAACTCCGCATTATTTTGAAAAGTATTCATAAGAAAATCAAATAGTTTAAATTAAGACAAAATATCAAGGAGGAAATAATACTGGTTAAACAATAATGTAGGTACTTATGCTTTGTTTCGTATATAATTTTTGAACTTTGGAGTTGTACAAAATATCAAACCTTTTCTGACTTTAGTGATTGTATATTATACATAAAAAAATCATTTTTAATTAATCTTCTATAATTGGTAGAATCTTGATCTTGAAGAGGAACTATCAAATCTAAATCAATAAGTCAAATTTTAAATAATAATAATAATAATAATAATAATATATCACTCCAAGTGATGAAAACGAATTAAAAAGGATGCCAATACGTATAATATACTATATAGAGTATAGGTAATATTAAATATATTAATAGTTACCTAATACAAGCATAGATATAAGAATCTGTGTTCATTTTCTTAAATTAATAAATGTGTGTGAGTAGGTATACGTAATAAATAACTATATTTTAAGGTGCATCTTGTCATAGTGTCATTTAAAACAATATGGATAGGTAAACATAATATGCATTTTTCATATAATATATTACATAATATTATGTAATACAATTAATGTAAAAACGCAATCTCACTCACTTCAATTAATTTTTAAAAAAAGTGGGTAAGTAAAGTGGATGTCGCTCTTCTGTACAGTAGGTTACATGTAGGTCATTGTATAATGGATTGTATTAAACTTGAATTCAATGATATAATATCATTGTATAAGAAAAACGATTCTGAGAGGAGACTGTTTGTCAGTCTGGATATTTTATATTGTTATTATTTATTATAATATCGCATGTAAGTTGAATTAATATTATAATATTTTTTATTTTTATTCGTTTCTATGGTGATAAACAAAGTGTTAGAAATTGAAATCCCATTTTAAGCGGTTTTTCGTAAATTTTCGGTGGTGTTTTTTCCTTGGCATTAAATAACTGTTGATAAAATGACCTCTCAAAGTACCATATTAATCCAATTTTCTAAAAGATAAGGTACTATATGTTGAAATCGAAGCACTCCTTCTGGTAGAAATGTTGTATACAGGATATAAAAAGAAAAAAGGAAAAAATAAACACCATTGTAAAACCACTAGCTTCCTCACTCCGCTCAGAATCTAAAAAGTATATTATAGAAGTGTAGACAGAATAAAATCTGTATCATGGAGTTTTGTTTTGTCTATTTACTCTATAGATTCTAGAAAAATGGTTTGTTTATTCTTTATTTCTATCAATGTGGATGGTCAACCCCGAGCGTGCAGCCCACAATTCTCTGGCACTGGCAGTCAACGATGAATTCTCCCTTCTCCTTTCAAACTGTTATTATATTGTTTTGCCTGATAAGTGATAGACAACCCTATTATTCTGACATCGACATTGTTTTCCTCCACACCGTATCCGACATATTGTCGACTAGTGATTACAAATATATTATAGGTACTATTATTGTTATCATTATAGTACTATGATATTGCACAGCGATACATATTATATACAAATATACAATATGACATGTATTGTGTATCTATATCATGTATATACGCACTGCGGTTGATGTTATATTGGACGCACCAACGTGTTTGTATCCGTCTGTCTGTTTCCGGTATCGACTATACAGCCGTGAGCTACACGGAGATAACGCACTCAAATACGGCAGACGCGGTGGAACTGCAGCTGCGGAACTACGTGAACTCGCAAGAGCCGTACAATCCGGAAGTGCACGGCTGGAGGGACATCACGCCACCCGTTATGCGATCCGTCAAGCACAGCGAGCGAGCTACACAGCTGGTGACAGCCATCCGTATGTCAGGGCTGCAGGACATCGAAATACTAGGCGTGCCCGATGGACACAGCTAACGACGGTCAGTATATTATGTATTAGTATTTTATTATTTTTATTATTATTGTAACTACAAAACCCGTCCTTAACCACGTAACGGTGCCGATGTGAATTTACGATTGTATTCGACAAACTATGAAAAATTAATGTTTGAAGGAGTTATTGGGGAAAGAAGTACTATATAGGTGCTACAGTACTTGAGCAAATATAAACACAGAGACAGAGAACATATTATTTTGATAGCCCCCAGCAATCGGTTCACATAATTATACATGAAGACATTCAGACGATTCAGTGATAAACTATTCTATAATCTCTAACAAAATATATTATAGCTATAGTATCATTATTATTTGGTTTATATAGGTAGGCAAATAGATCGAATAATTAGTAATACAGTATTGTGCAATAATAACTATGTATTGCATCACGATCTCACAAGATACGGGAATGTTAAAAGAAGCGTATAGTTATTAAATGGCTTTTATTGGTATTTTAATATCCGTAGACAAGATGGATGAAGGATAATATATGTAGTTTGTGTATCAAATAGTTGAAACCTATAAAATAATAACGAATTATACACAGCTATATAACATAGTGAAACCAATTTTTGGAAATGGACAGTGAAAGAGTCTAAAAAAAAGAAGACTTAAAAATAGGTAATCAAAAAGGATAGAAAATGTTCGTAGACTATTCTAAAAAAGTAACATTCGAAGGTCAAGTAAAAAAAATTAAATTTGTATTATTAATTTCAATTTGTTGACTGTTATTAAAAAGTATATAATTGAAATGATTATTATTAATCAATTCTATAATAACATTTCTTTATACGAAGTCCAGAAGTCATATAATATGTTATTTAAATAATCAAATGACATTTTTTTTGTCCATCCTCCACTCCTAATAATTTAAAATACTCTAGTCTCCGACTGTAAAATTCGAATTATTTATGATATCTCCAAAACATATTCTCAATAAATTGTGTGGTTTTTATAAAAATGGTTTTAACACTTCTAAGATTATATCACATTAATTGAATTTTGAAAGAAAAATTAAATTGGATTTATTTTTTATACGGCCACGGTCAATTAAGTATTTCTACTGAACGAACAAATCAAATCAATTTAACATTCATACACAGAATGAGAGCTATGTAAATATTAAATAAAAAGTGAAAACCTTAGATTGAAATTCAAAAGTATTATTTATAAATTAAATAAATTATTTTGGTTCGCATATCAACCATATTCTTCATTAATAAAGTTGTATCTGAAATTTAAAACATTATTATCAAAAACAATTAAAAAAAACATAGCACAATAAAGTTGTCAAGTCCGTTATTGATCTTGCACTTGTTTCGCTTCACTTATACTATATCAACACATAATGGTGGTACCTATATTATTATTTTTTAAGTAACAAGTATCGCATTTGAAAAATTTGTTTAAATGGTGACTGGTGGAGCTAATTCATCATTTAATTTACAACTGGTGAAGATTTTTTTAGTAATCACTGTGTTGCTTTATGCTTTACACCTGTAAAATATATTAACGTGCTAACATTATTTCTAATTAATATTTAAGCATTTTTTTTTCCATCAAAAACTACACTATTCAAAAATGCCTACTCCGAAAAATACGAGTGAGTGTAAAATCACAATAATACCTACACATTCTTTCCAAGTATAAGGTTAAAATGAAAAGTGTCCCTACACTTACAATTATTGTTTGAATCGTCTAGATAGATTATAACAAAAATAATACACCTATTTGTTACAAAAAATAGTATGATAAGAATGATATCCCATTATATTTTATAGTTATCAATATGAAAATGCAGGTTGGTAAAACTTATCATTTATTTCATATAGGTACATAAAAATATCACGTTCAACGATATTTTTGATACATATTTATTCAAGTATTAGTAAGTACCTATACCTACTAGCTATGTATCTATAACATATTTGTTTTAAAATCTTGTTTGGACATTGAACTTTCAACTTATATAGTTTTTTTTTATACACCTATAATATTAAATAATATCAGGTTACTAAATGTATATCCTACATGTAAATACATCGTCTACATCGATTTACTATAATGCTATGCGCAGAAAACATAAATTCAATAAATATAATATACATATGTACGCGAACCATTTCATTTCTGATTTAAACGCTAACAAATATACAATAAAATATTAGAACAAAGTATAAAAGTTTGCTACTATGTATAAAAAATATTAGTCATTCACCCTTTTCCCTATTCATCCCTTCTATATCGCTTACCAGTTTCCCCAGAGGGTTATAATAATTTTGCGAGTGGCACGCTGAAAGGTAGGCATTTTATGCACATTTAACATGCAAGGAAAACACATTGCAAAGTATTGAACACACATCCACCAAAAGTGGCAAATCCGTTTTAGGTTAAATCATGTGCACACGAATATATTCAAAAATTGAACTTAAATAGTAAAAACAAAAATATTCAGATTCAACCATACTATATGTTGTTATTGTACGTTGTCATTTTTATTGTATTAAAATTGAAAACATTCGGAAAATACAAGCTAAAACATTTGTATGTTTGGAAGTGTGGTGGAGACATGCTGGCTTATGTTACCTATTAGTCCGTTTGGTCGTTTCATGTTTCTATGGAAAATAAAAAAAATCAATAGATATTACGATTTATTTCTTAAAAACTTTCAAGCTAATTTCTCTTTAAGCGATTACAGGATTAAAGTCTATGATACACTTTATACATATTATACACACTCAATGTAAAATACTTAAATTTTAGAACTTTTATCGTTGATCCTATATTGGTTTTATAAATATAAAATGTCCAAGTAATGTTTATTCTTATAAAGCCATAAAGGAATGATGTAAAGAATGAGAACGAATTTGAACGATAGTCGATAATATTATTATCTGTAATTTGAATAATAGTTGTTGATGATTCTCAAGGGAAAAATTGTACCAAAAAAATTATGTTTATTAGGGATAGTTTTATAGCCTATAGTTAACATTATATAACAATTTAAAATTCATTACATTTTAGTATTTAGCTTACAATCAATTTTTAATTTATCAAAATAAATTCCTCACATTTTTGTTAAACTTAACAGTAAGTTCCAATGTATAATTTCACACTCCTTAATGCTTAACGATGTTTGAGTAAACACATAATTTGTCAAACTATAATAACTATCTATATCTATTCAGAATCTAATATATGAATCTATTAAATTAATCTAAAATTCAATTAGGCATTGATTTTAATAAATTATATAAAATGAAAAGTATTATTAAAAATGAATGTTAATCTTTCAGATAAATTTTAGGTTATAAAGATTAAACATTTTTTTTTTAAATTTAAGACAATTTAAATATTGATTTTGTTGTTTTAATATTTAAATAAGTCATAATATATCTAACTATGGACTATTTTTTAATTATTTTAAATACAACATAAATAATTAATATAGCCTATGTAGAGTATTTTAATCAAATTTTAAAACTTGTTTTTTATAGTTATAAATAAGAAATAAAAAATTATTATTTCAATAATGATTACCTTAGACCCTAAATGGGTTCTTAATTAGAATATTATGGGCATTGTGCTTATTGTAGATATGAGTTGATAAATAAAATACCTGACCTAAATTAAAATGACATAAAAATGTCAAACATCCGGTAATTTATCGTTTTGAAAATGGTAGATACTATATAGATGTAATTATAATGACGTTTTTCGAGCAATCATCACGTTATTTTTTGGCGTACATAATTAATTAGGTATGAAAATATTAGTAATAAAAATATTGATGATTAAAACTATTTTGTAATTTTAATCATCTTATGTCCTTGATATTGAAATTAATTTAATTATTATTTCTTTAACATATTGACATCTTATCATAAACAAATTTAGTCATTGTTTGGTGCAGATCATAAATAGGTATACGATAACTTTTTACTTATTACTTATTAGTTATTAGTAAATAAAAATATATATACCCAACATTAAATTATATTCAATAAATTCAGTAACCATTGCACTTATTATAAGATACAAGTTTATAACCTTACATAATATTACACGACACATATTTTTATAAACTATACTAATAATTATGAATTATAAATACTCTGTACTCTAGTCTGTTGACTCAATGTTCTACTTCCTATTCAAATATATTTACAAATATTTTTATGCTAATTGTGTAACATAACTATAATAAAATTACTTAAAATAGTTTTCTTTTTTTAAAGTAAAAAATGTTGAGGTAGATAATAATATAATGTATTATATACTGTATAATTTAAGTCACTGAAAGTCAAGTTAAGTTCAGTAAATATTCACATTAATATTATGTACGCAAAAATTATTTCAGATCTTAGAAAATTTAAATCAATGTAATTAATAACTTTTAGAGTTTTCGCTTACATAAATAACTGTGATTAAATAAATTCCTTTTTTGGTTACTCAATTACAAATATGCTTCGAAAACTAATTGACCTATTTTTAATTCCCTGTATAGTCTGTAATCTATATTATATCTATTCTATAATCTATATACTATATAATACAAAATGATTTAGAAACTTGGTTCTTGATAGAAAGTTCTATTTCTTAATTTTTACTAAATAGTTTTAGATACTTAAGTTATTTTCTTTTATTTATTAAGACTAGGTGTCTAGGTACCTCGTAAAACTTATTTTTAGATTCTGAGTGAAACGATGAATGTATTGATTTTACAATGATGTGTGTTTTTTTATTTTATTTATTTTTTTTTTTTTGTGTCTGTATACACGATAAGTAGTCGAAATTATGCTTCGATTTTTAACTTTCGTATCTTGTTCGCATTGGGGAGGTCAAAATTTAAAATACGCAGTAATTTTCAAAAGCGCCAAGAAAAATTAAGGAAAAACGGGAATCGATTTTTCACAAAATTGAATTTGGTTTTTGGTGTAACTTTAAAACAAATGACCGTAGATACGTGAAATTTT